GTACAGCCGTTATGAAAATAGTATGGATGTTCCTCAAAAAATTACAAAAAGAACTACCAGATGATCCAACAATCCCACTGCTGGGTATATTTGAAGGAAATGAAACCAGTATGTCAAAGAGATATCTGCACTCCATGTTTACTGAAGCACTCATAACAGCCACGACATGGAATCAACCTAGGTGTCCATAAATGGATGAATGGATAATGAAAATGTGGTATACATACACAATGAATACTATTCAGCCATAAAAAGGAATGAAATCCTGTCATTTGTGGCAACATAGATGAACCTGAAGGATATTATGTCAAGTGAAATAAGCCAGGCACAGAAAACAAATACTGAACTGGTTGACTTGGCCTCAACTGCTTTCCAACAAGCAACCTCGGCTGTATATGGGATCTAAAAAAGCTGATCTTATAGAAGTAGAGAGTGATAGTGATTACTAAAGGCTAGGAAGAATGGGAGGTGGGACATAGGGAGAGATGGGTCACTGGGTACAAAGTTACAGTTGGGAGGAATAAGTTCTGATGTTCTATCGTGCAGTAGGGTGACTATGGTTAACAATATTGCATTGTATTAGGTTGGTACAAGAGTAATTGCGGTTTTTGCCATTACTTTTAATAGAAAAAAACTGCAATTACTTTTGCACCAACTGAGTATATTTCAAAATAACTAGAAGAGAAGATTTTGAACATTCTCATCATAAAGAAATGATAAATGTATGAGGTGATGGATGTGCTAGATTTTTTGATTTGATCATTACACAATACATACATGTATTGAAACATCACAATATACCTCAAAATATGTGTAATTATGATGTGTCATTAATAAAAATAACATATTTTTTAAGCACCCAAATAATTTATCAAGTCCCTCAAAGCATGTACTCAAGTATTTTCCAAATCCTGTCAAGAAAAAAGAAGCTTCACAAAATCAACACCTCTCCCCACCAGTAACTCAAAAAGCAATAAAACAAAAACATTTAACATTTTTGTATTGTCCTTAGAAACTCAAAAAAAAAAAAAAAAAAAAGCAAAAGCTAAATAGGTGAACAGTACATCCTAGAAACAGGCTAATTCCAGTTCCAGTTCTGAAAATTCACTAGTTGAGCATGATTTGGTGAAATCTCCCTTTCTTTCTTTACATCTTACATACACACACACACACACACACACACACACACATGCACACCCACAAACACACAGGCACAGGGAAAGTACCAGCTGTAACTGTTTGTAGGAGTCATAGAAAAACAGAGAGAAGTGACCTTAGTAATGTTTTACTTCAGGGACTGAAAATTTGATCCTGCCGCTGTACACCTGGTGTGCCTCTGTTTATCAGGGTCCCACAATCATCATTGTGTTAACATATGACTGAAAAATAGAAACTCAACCAACATTTTTAAAGGTGACAAGATTTCTGTTGCATTGAGCAATCCCAGAAGATACTATCTTCATTTTAATATAAAATGTATCAGATCTACATGCCTGAATAGAAAAAGACACCAACATATAAAAGATATACCGGCGTTAAGAGGCCTTCTTTTCCAGTCGAATTTGAAATAAAAGACTTAAAGATCCAAAGCTACATTAATGCAAATATCTGCCTGTTGCAAGTATACTTTTTGATTAAATTGGCATACATCAAGTACAATTAGAAATGCTATTTATAACGAAGAAGTACATAATTCTGCATCTTAATGTAGATGGCAATTACAGCTGATGGTTGCTAATTATCATTACTTCTTTTGCTTTGGGTGTTAGTTATTTCCTGAATGATTTTTATTGTTGGCAATGGACACACCTCATTCTGGAAGGCACAAAATGGTTACTTATTAGTTATATCTGTGCTCATAACACATTCATTTGAGAAGCAAATAGTAATTTGCCCAGCTCTGGCTTCTCACTGGAGACTAGAAGATCAAGTAGACTTGGTAAACTCTGACTCACTCTTATGTCAGGGAAGGTATTTACTTAACTTTCTCTTAGAGAAAAGGCTCACCTATCCTGAGGTGTTCAGAATGACAGAGAGAAAGCCCCTTCACTCCTCTTTCCAGATGGAGTGGTCCATGGGGCATTCATTGCTTGTTCTATCCAAGCAGAAATGAATGGTACATTTAATTCAGCTTCACCACCCTCTTGTACCAAGATGACCACTGTGCTTATTCTTTCAGGCAGCTTAGGGGTGTGTGATCAGTGTGGAAAAACAGAAGTGATATGGAGAGAAAAAACACTGCAGCTTTCAGCACAGAAAACTATAATGCCCTCTTTGCTTATGCTGTAAATTATATATTTATTTTATTAGCATGAGATAGATGAATATTTCTACATACAAAGGTGTCCAGCTAAAATCAGGATAAGTGATATAAATGTCTTATGGTCAGTATTATTGAACCTTGAAAGCAATAAACTTTATGAGTCAATAAATATTACATTTGCAACATAGTTAACATTCCTTTACTGTCTCTAGCACTTATTACACATTGTAACTGCAAGTCTACAATACATTATTCATATTTGGGGTGTCACCAAGTGATGGATTGCTGTAGGAGAGGCTGTCCTTTAAATAAATCAACAAATAAAAATGCAAATGTTAACATTTTCAGCCACAACTTTTTCTATATTGAATGGGGAATGAAAATTTCACATTATATTGACAAGCCAGCAGTGAAAACAATTAACAACCAACACTGTGAATGGGAAAGCTGACTTTGCTACACCTGTTTTCACCTGCACATAGAATGAAATGGAACTCTTCCAGGTATTTTCAGAGAACAAAGGAAAGCCTGTCTCCCACTGGTATCTGTCTCACGCTCATCCTCATTTGCAGGTCTTGAAAATTAAATTTAAGGTGGACAGGAGAAGAGATTTTACTCTTATTCTCTTCGGTACTTTCAAAGGTTTGTTGAGGTAAAGAAACCTTTTTTCTTACATTAAGAGTTTGCATGTAACTGATACATAGTCTATTTAAAAAAATACCTTTTCTACACTTTGAAATAAAAACAATTCAAATAATCCTGATTCTGAAATCTGGAAAGCCACCACTATAACCTTCCTAGTAAATGATTTTTATAGTACTGATTTTTTTTTTTAACTCTGCACTTCGTATAAGAGACCTATATGATGCCATCATGCATTTCTAAGGAAAAAATCTAGCGTGCTCCCCATTGTTTTATTAAGCCAAATGCTCATTACTTAGGAAGCTTCTGAGAATCTATATTTAGCTGATCTGCAACATTAAGAACAAATAGATAATCATTTTTTAAAGGACTGCAAATATGACTCTTCACAGCAGTTTTAAACTGGGCTTGTAAAACTCTACAGTGTTGATATGGTCCATTCAAAAAATATGTGCTGAAGATGTTTTATAAAACCTTTACTGGGAAAACATTTTATTCCACTATTTTTTTTTTTTTTTGCTTCCCTCTAAACTGAAATGCAACCATCAAAAACATGTTAAAGTGGTGTTAAAGATCTCATTTTAATTTTTAACAATAGGAAAATTCACTAAGATTGAAAATCCAGATTATCTCCCTTCTTTACCTCTAACTCCTCCAAATGAATCCCTCAAGGTGAGCTGGGATGGAAACCCTCTGAGCATAAGCTTTTAGACACAAGGTTAAGTGATCCAAAAAGGAAGCCCCATCAACATTTCAGAATCACAACTTATTGTAGGTCTTAGGCAGAATGCCAACAATAGTAGCATTAAAAATAAAAGAAAGCAGCAACAGTGAAAGGTTGTGGCAGACTAATTATATTCTCTTTTAGATTGTGGGTGGCCTCCAAAATAGAGAGGTTGTCATTGTCAACTATTAGAATATTTAAGATTATGAGGTTTGGAGTCTGAAATGCTGGCTTTGTCTGTTGTCAGCTATGTGATCTTAGAGAGTTCTTCAATGTCTCTGAGCCTCACTTCCCTAATTTTTAAAATGCGGATAATAGTACCACCTCATAAGGTTGTGAAGATTAGATAAGACAAGGCTTGGCAAGGTGTTGTGGATGTGGCAGATACTTAATAGATGGCAGCCATTGTTATTAATATTATCTTTTGTGTTGGAGTAATTTCTCAAAAGTTCTTTAAGATTTTTACTTTTCCACTCCAGAATTAAAGAATGACAAAAAGACTCAAAATAGGATGAACACACTGTTTCCTAGGTTTGGCTTCTTTGGAACAGCATATCTATAGGCATTGGACGAGCATACAATTTTTTAGAGGAGGAAGAAATAATGTTTCTCTTATTTTTGAAGTTACCTCAAACCAAAAGAATAAGTTTCAGAGTACAACTTTAAAATCATCAGACTTGAGACCTATAATTTGGGGATTTCTACTTTGCAAAGCCAAAGGACTTTAACTACAAATTAATTCTTAACATTTATATTCAATTCATTGGAAATGATGCTATGAATCTGAGTGCTCAAAACCAATCATATTCCCAAGGAAACATAAGCCATGCCCTTTTGGTGTTGATGTTTATATATCAGCCTTAATTACATACTGTGGGAGTTGGTTTAAGAGATATGAAAAATTTTAAATAATATATTTATTTCCCTGGATCCAGAAAAGGCTGATCAAATGCTTAACCCCTCAAATGTCTGTGATATAAGCAAATATTGGTATTCATTTAGTACAAAAGCTGCTATAATGTTCAAAATCAATGATTTCAGCTAGCTAAAATTACAGTCTAAATGTACAACTATTCTGTGACAATTGGGAAAGACCTGCTGCTAAAGAGACTTTCTGATGAAGGACAGGATTAGCTTTAGGTTTGTACGGAAACCCTTACCCATTACCATGATCGACTAAGAAAGCACATGTATAAAGAAAAGGACTCCATGTAGTTCAAACTGGCCTAGTCTGGATGCTTCAAAAGAAGGACCTCTGTTGAGAAACAGTCACTAAGAATTATCAAGATATTTCCATTCCTTATTAAAGAAACTTCAAAAAATGTTTTCATAGGGAGAATATTAAAAACTAAAAGAATCTCTGAAGCTTACTGGGAGGTGGTGTGCTGTAATGATGGTGAGGCTGTGGTGACAAGATCCTTTAGGCTTCCTGTTGGCAGAGGAGATGTGGACGCGTCTTTTCTAACTCCTGTTGCTGTCCCTAAATGAACAATAAAGAAAATAATTTGGGCATTCAATAAAAGCATATGGAAAAGTTCATTCTGAGTAATATATTAGATATTATAGGAATGTCCAAGCTTCAAAGGTAAGCCACTTGTTTCCCTGAAATGGAACAATGGCATATGAAAAACTCACTTCGGTTTTATAAACATGAGAGATCTATAATGTTCTTTTAAAAAGTATATTTTTGCAATGACAGACTAACTAGAGATTTTGTTTATAAGCCTGATTGCCTAGCAAACCCCTGCTGATTTTGGTTTACTGTGAAAATGCCCAAGGAAGTGGAATGTTTTATATTTTGTTCCCTTTAATTTTCATAAGAAAGATTCCAGCACTTTGTACTTCTAAACCCTCTAAATTAAATGGATCCTCTTTAAAAAACTTTCAAGATATATGTAACCCTTGAAAGTTTCTTTTAGAGAACTCAATAGTGGCTAAAACACATGTCTTAATTGGAAGATATGCTCAACTAACTATTCATTCAAGAGCCACAGGAAAGTTCCAAAGCAATAGTTTATCCTCCCAAGAACTGGTTGACTTGGCCTCAATTCCTTTCCAATAAACAATGTTTAGTTTGTAATTACTTTTCTCTTCTGGAGTGCTAAATAAAAAGATGGTATGGACAGAAATATTGTTTTTATTTTTTTATTTATTATTTTCTAAACAACATAAAATATTGCTGTATTTATCTTGGAAGACTATAAGAATCCCATTCACAATTTTTCTTCTGGTTCTTTGAAAACTGTTATCCAGGATGCATGAAGTTATTTGGGAGGATCCACTCTTTGAAGAAAGGGAGAGTATTCACAATAACAAAAAGCTTTGGAGTGCTGGGAATACCAGACCCTAAAATGCCAGGAGTGCAGCATACTAACTTTGGGAATGGCAAGAGGTTGTGTGCAACCAGAAACCATCAGGCATAGAGAAGGCCAGAGTCTTACAGCTGTAGAGGTTAGCATCAAAATGATCACCATTATCCTTGGCTTCAAAACCTACACTCTTATCATAAACTATTCTCTACTATGTTTGTTTCTTTGTTTATTGAGACAGGGTCTCACTCTATCGCTAGGCTGGAGTGTAGTGGTGCAATCACAGTTCACTGCAGTCTCGACCTCCTGGGCCCAAGAGACCCTCTTGCCTCAGCCTCTTGAGTATCTGGGACTACAGATGTGTGACACTATGCCGAGCTAATTTTTTTATTTTTATTTTTGTACAGATGGGGTCCCACTAATCTATTATGTATAGATGTAAAAGACCAGCCTCTAAATGCACAGTTCAGTCTTCCTTACATATAGAAATCTGTGGTACTCTCAACCCAAACAAGCACATACTAATACTGGACAGTGCTAGGATTAAGTTCAGGCTCAGTTTATGGGAAAGGGAAGGAAGATATAATGAGGACATGAGACACTCTTGACAATCACATAAAGAGACATAAAGGATGGGCACAGTGGCTGATGCCTGTAATCCTAGCACTTTGGGAGGCCAAGGCAGGAGGATCACGGCCAGGAGCTGGAGACCAGCCTGGGCAACACAGTAAGATCCTGTTTCTATAAAAAATAAAATTAGCCAGGTGTGGTGGCATGTGCCTGTAGTCCTAGTCCTAGCTATTCAGGAGGTTGAGGCAGGAGGATCCCTTGATCCCAGGGGGCTGAGGCTGCAGTGAGCTATGGTTATGCTACTGCACTCCAGCCTGGGCAACGGAGCAAGACTCTGTCTCAAGAATAAAACAAAACCAAAACCACAGATAACACAAGGCAGTATAAGATCATAACTACTAATACATATAATATGCTTAGTGTGAATAAGTTTTATTGAGGTATCATTTGAGTATCATAAGATTTACTCATTTTAACTGTAGCGTTTGATAAATAGTAACTTTATATAGCTATGAAAGCATATAAAAACAAGCCAGTTTTTTAAAATAAGTTCCATGATATTACATATTTCTTTTTAAAATCCAGTTTTAGAATATCTCCTTGCTCTAGAAGTTTCCCTCTTGCTCATCTGTAGGTAATACCTGCCCCCTGCCTTGGTCTGGTCCTAGCGCCCTCTGTAGCTCTATTGTTTTACCTTTTTTAGAAATCATGTTTTATTTTCATAAAAACTCTTTGTGATAATATTTTTATAACAAATTTGCAGATAAGGAAAATAAGCCATAAAGAGCCTATGTGATCTGCCCAAGGTCACCGAGCTAATAAGTGATGGAGCTAGTATCTATGTCCAAGACGACCCGAGAGCTTTGGCCATTATGTTACGCTGCCGTAATATGTACTATGAAAAGTCTGAGGAATTAAGAAGTGGGAGAGATCACATTTGGCTATAGCATTTAGGGAACATTTGATGTAGGAGGTAGGATTCTTTGATACGAAAGAATGATGAGCATGAAATGGGAGACAGAGACTTACGTTAGCAAAAGCATTAAATAGAAAACCTCAAGTCTAAATATTTAGTCAGGAAATAGTTACTGAACATTACTATGTCCTTATACCCTGCTAATCACTTTAAATATATTATCTCATTAATCCTTACAACAGTCTTTAAATTATATTATTGTCCTTATTTTATAGATAAGGAAGTGGAAATTGTAAAAAGGTCAAGCAGCATATCCATTATCACCCAGCTAGTAAGAGCAAAGCTGGGTTTTGAATGCAATCAAGATCTGTTTGGCTCTGTATGGCAAACTTGTAAGCATTATTTTAGATGGACTCAAAAATAAAACTGTAACAACGACCAAAAAAAAAAAAAAAAAAAAAAAAAAAAAAAAAAAAAAAAAAAAAAAAAACAAAAAAAAAAAAAAAAACCAAACAGGTCTTTGGAGAGATTAATTTTGTGGCAGAATTTAGAATACAGTGGAATAGATAGAATAAAGGCAGGCAAAGCAGTTCACTACTAATACAATTGTCTGGGTAGAATCCTAGGTGATGTAAGAGGAAATTAAGATGGACAAATAGGAGTAGAAAGAATTGAAAGGGATTTGTGAATGAGGTGAAAGGGAAGAAGAAATGCCTGGTAGTGACAGAATATAAATATATTTTCAGTCACTATCACAGAATACTGGGGACAATTTAAAGAAGGAATTTTAACAGATGGTTCAGGGATGTTTATAATTCAAGAATGTATACATGCAAATACGTCATAATTGTAGGCACAGCAATGTATATACGTGTTCTCATTTATTTCTCTAAAGAAAGAAACCATATCTTTTACCTAATTCTGAAAGGTTATGAGACCCCAAAAAGGATAAGAATGCTGTAAAGCAAAGACCAAGTTTAACTCTTCTTTTTTCTTAATTATCTCTATTCCTTATTGTATTTCCAGAAAGCTATATATCAGCTTTTAATTTTGTTTCCTTTATAAATTTTATTTAATATTAAGCATCCCAATAATTAGTTACGTATATTCATGGAACTCTATATTCCTGTATATTTAAACACACACATACACACACACACACACACAATAACAACAAATGCTGATAAGAATATTATTGGGCTAATCAGTTTCATATATAAATGTATATGTTTACATACATATAATATATATGGATGCATTTACCTAAAAAAACCTGCACATATATTTTCACATGCACAGATGGAAGTGCATATAATGGATTATGTCCTACTTAGATATAGCTGGGTATATTTCATGGTAATTTTTTTTCTTAGAGCTCAGTGTTTAAGAAAATTCTGTTTCTGGGCCCTTTGTTTTATTTTACATTTTTAAAAGAGCTGCACCATATTATCTATTCAGTTTAGTTTAAAGAATAAATTATAAAGAAAACACCAGTGTAACCCATTCTCAGATCAAGAAAGCAAGCCCTGGCAGCACTGCCGCCCAGATACATCACCAGTATCCATCCCCAGTCACAACTCCTTCTCACCTCCAGGGGACTCAACTATTCTAATAATTATTTCTTTTCTATTCTTTATAGTTCTACCATTTACGTATTTAGTTAGACATGTCATTTAGTTTTGTTGCTTTTGAACTTTATAAAATAGAAACATATTATATATATTATTTTTGAGTCTTTCAATTGTCTGCAAAATTTACCTATGCTGATAATTTTTATGCACTGCAGTTTCTTTGTTTTCTTTGCTAAGTACTATTCCACTGTATGCATTTATGACTTTCCATCCATTCTGCTGTTGAGGGACATTTGGAATATTTCTGGTTTGGGGATATTATGAAGAATGCTGCTGTGGCAGATGCTGCCAGTTTATCCACTAAAACGTACTCCTTCCTTCTTCCCAGGTACACATCCGGACTCTAATCCTCCTTGTAATTATATGTGGTCAGGTGGGAAGCCAGTGGACACTATATGTGCCACTTCTGTTCTGTCCTATAACAACTTTTCACGTGTACTCTTCCAAAACTTTTCCTTGTCCTTGCTGACCTACTTTGGCAGAGTCAACAAACAATTTCCTATAAAGTTGGACAGATCATGAAAGAATGTTGAATTTTGTCAAATCCTTTTTCTGTGTAAACTAAGATGATCATGTGGTTATTCCAGCATTCTATTAATGTGTATTACATTGATTGATTTTTATATGTTGAACTACCTTTGTATTCCTGGGCTACATCTCAGTTATGATACATAATCCTTTTAATATGCTGTATCCGGCTTGCTAGTATTTTGTTAAGGATATTTTCATCCATATTCATAAAGAATACTGGTCTATAGTTTGCTTTTCTTGTGACATCTGTCTCTGGCTTTGATATCAGGGTAATGCTGGTTTCTTAAAACAAGTTAGTGACATGGGAGGGGAGGAAGGGAAATGCTGGGAGGAAAAGGGCAGGGTCCCTGGTGAGGGCTCCACCATTAGTCCTGTGCCCACGGACCTAGGTGAGGACAGGCACTCCTGTTTTGCACCCAAATGTTGCATTTTCCAAGACCACCCTGGCCTGCTACACCGCCATCCTGTGCCCATAAAATACCCCAAGACGTTAGTGGGAAGGGACACAAGCAGCTAGACATCA